TCTATCTATCTATCTATCTATCTATCTATCTATCTATCTATCTATCTATCATCTATTTTTACATTTTGTGGCTAAAAGTGCTTTGTGTTTTGAGTGGAGCTTTGTCACACAGAGGAATGTTTAATTTCTCATACATTATATCCCTGTTCCAATCAAGAAGTCATGTGCTTCCCTTAAAAAGCAAACTATGAAATTCTCAATACATTATGACTACCAGACATGGGCTACAAAAATCTGAATGGCCATCCCCATTTATACTTTGCACACACACACACACACACACACACACACACACACACACACACACAGAGAGAGAGAGAGAGAGTATGTGTCTGTGTATGTATATCTATCATATTGTATATTATATAATATATAATGAAAGCGTTGTTGCAAAATATGGCTATACAAGTTAAAACAGGCTTGGAATTTAATTTGCTGTGTTAGTAGGATGAAAAAAAAGGAACTCATTCTGGAATCTGCTTGGCAGTGAAACATTTTACTTGTAAGACAGCATTATTCCTGACCAGCATGCTCCCTTATTGTTGCAAAATAAAGTGAGTCATTCTCTTAATATGAGTCAGCTAGGAAATGATTAGCTACAGAAGCCTCCCACCTCTATTAAAATAATGAATTTTGGCTTGTATTCTTACTTGACTTCGAGGGTATTGGGTGATGATCACTGTTTCAAAAAAAAAAATCACTTCTTTTTTCAATGCTCACTTAGTGCTGTGTCTTCCTTCTAGAGTTACAACTTGTGTTGAGGCCCATCCTGATGTCTAGCTCTTTAAAAGTTTTTCCCACCTGGGCAACTGGCCCAGGAACTTTCTGCCTGTGGTATGACTTGTTCCTTTCTGGGAAGAATTGCTCAGGACTGGCTGCATCTCAACGGCTTAGTTGGGATGGTCAAAGAGATCCATCTGCCACAAAGAGGGAAACTGCCGGAGCAGAACAAAAGGCGGAGCAAGTCAAAAGCAATTTTAGCATTTGCAGGTTATTGTCATATATCACTTAAAATAGGAAAGGGATGAACTGATTAGGAGGAGAAAAAAAAGTTGTTCCTGACAATAAGGATTTTCCCCCATATTACTTTCTATATCAAGGGTCTACAAATTTGGCAAGTTTTAGACTTGTGGACTTCAACTCCCAGAATTCCCAAGCTAACATGACTGGAGGAAGAATTCTGGGAGTTGAAGTCCACAGGTCTTAAAACTGTCAAGTTTGAAGACCCCAGAGATGGTATTCAGCAGGTTCTGACCAGTTCTGGAGAACCAGTAGCAGAAATTTTGAGTAGTTCGGAGAACCGGCAAATACCACCTCTGACTGGATGTTTTACAGTACCCTTCCCCTGCCACGCCTACCAAGCTACACCCATAGAACCAATAGTTAAAAAAAAATTGAATCCCACCACTGGAAGACCCCTGTTCTATATGTATGTCCTGGAAGCAGAAACATGGTTAGAATAAGAACTGTGGTGGCGCAGTGGTTAGAATGCAGTACTGTAGGCTACTTCTGCTGACTGCCGGCTGCCAGTAGTTTGAATCTCACCAGGCTCAAGGTTGACTCAGCCTTCCATCCTTCCTAGATCGGTAAGATGAGGACCCAGATTGTTGGGGGCAATGTGTTGACACTGTAAACAGCTTAGAGAGGGCTGTAAAGCAGTATAGAAGTCTAAGTGCTATTGCTATTTGAAAACTTGTCATTTTTCACTGGATAAATGCTTGTTTATTTAACCATGAGGTGCACTGAAAACATTTCACCCCATCCTGAAAACTACTTGGTACTATAAGGAAGAAATTGATATGGGCCTGAAATATTTAAGATCCAATCTCTATTTGGAGATTATCTCCTGATACATATCTTAAATTGGTGTATCGGCAGGAGGAAGTACAAGGAGCACGGATGGTGCTCCCTAGTTAGGGTAATGAAAACAAGCTCAGACCTCACCAAGGGCCCCTCAGTATAAGGAGTCAAATATCTCAGTTGGTCAACCCTGAATAAGATAACCTTCAAGGGATTGTACCGACAAAGCCTACAAGACTGACCACCTAGGGAATTGAAATATTTGATTCTAAATGTATTAACAGCGGCTAGGATTGTATTTGCTAAAAACTGGAAACATGAGAAAATACCAAAGCAGGAGGAAGTTATTAAGAAAATAATGGAATGTGCTGAAATGAGTAAATTGACATTTGAAATTAGAGAACAAGAAGATAAACAATTTTATAAGATTTGGGATCTATTTTATCAATGGTTAGAAAATAAAATATGGTAATGAAATATGTAGAATTTTACAATGCAACGAGAATAGAATTATACAGAATATAATATAAAGATGTATCATTACTGGATGGACTTAGGATGATAATATAAATTGTTATAATATAAATCAATTTTAAAATATGGAATATCTCGCATAACATGAAGAAATAATAGTATAGTCAAATGAATGATTAACAATGATAATAAATGTATTCAGAAATATTTGATTGATAATATGAGAATATATACAAACAATTGTGAGGACTATGGAGATGATGCACAAAAATTTTGTAACCGACACACTATATGTATGTAATTTAGAAGATGGCTTTATGTTTTTATGTTTTGTTTGTGTATGCTTGTCTAAAAATAAAAAATAATCTTTTTTTAAAAAAGACCGACTACCTAAACTCTAGAGGTTTACTTTCAAATCATGCAGAGACTTCTCCTTGAGATTTTGGTCTGCTGGACCAGGACAATTAGGTGACAGTATTTAATCTGAGTTCATACTGCGGGTTTGGAATGCTATCTGTTCCCTGCCCTGTTTGACCAACCAAATAAATCTCATCCCTCTTTGCAAACAAAAAGCAGCATGTCAAGAAAAAACTATTATACACAATTTACATTACTGACTGCTAGTTGCAGTAGTGTTTATCCAGGGAAGTGTCCAAAAATATTTGCCCCTTTTCTGGATGACATTTGATCCAGTCTGAAGTTGTATAGTCCTATTCATCATCTCTGAACTTGAAGTAGTCAACTAACTAGCAGTGTTGCACCAGGAAGCCCAGAAGAGCATTTGGATGGGGTGGTGATGGCAGTGGTGGTGGTATCCAGCAGGAACATTTGGATGGAGAGAAATAAGGAGTTGCTCTACAATATACACCACACTTCTTCCCTTTGGCCCACTAGGAGTTTCCAAATGCTGTTTCTAGAGTACATTCTTACTCAGACATAACTAGACCCCATGCTTTCAGAGGACTTCAGTAGTGACAAACCTAAAAAAGTCCTTGCTCATCTCCAGATGGTCATGAATCAGGGGAGGGCCTGTGATGGCAAATCAGCCCTTAACAATCTTGTTTGTCCTCTATTTCTTAATGAGGGGGAGGGACAGAAGGGGAAGAGCCCAAATGCAATTAAAAAGTGTGCAATCTTTCCTAAGGGATTCACTTTTGGAGTTCCACTTGTGCTTGGAACCACTCCTCGATTTTCTTCTCGTTAGGTAAGAGTTTCATAATTTTAATGGGTGTGCATGTGTACGCGTGTCTGAATACAGCAAAATTAACCACTTCATAAATGCTTGTGGGCTTAACTGCACATTCATATAAAATCCATCTGTGCATGGTTTGACTATTTAGTTGCACGCAGTTCCTGTTTGGGGAAGAAAACTTGCGCAACTTTGCTTGGAATGACAATCCTTTTCAATCCTGATGTTGATGTTCAATCAGCAATCCCTCCAGCACACTTCCGAGCAAGTGCTGTTGAACAGAGTGAAATTTAATCTTCAGTAAACATACATAATCTTTGTGCTGCACAGGCATGATGCAGCTCAAACAAAGACGTTTTGAATTCCAATGTCAGGAACAGTTGGATAGCTGATGACTTTCTTTCAGGGGAGCCTTAAAGGCACAGAAACAAAACATGATTTCTAGAAGCGACCGTGTGAATGGGCTGCAAGGAAAACACATCAAGAACTTGCTACTTTTTATTTATTTATTTATTTATTTGCGCGTTTATTACGAATCTCTCCAGCCTGTCCCTCTCCAAACACTTCGGACTCTAACGCTTAGTATCTCCAAGCTGCTCGGCAGAGTGGCTAGTAGTAGTAGAAGTCTATCTGATCAGATGCACTTATCTTCAAGCCGCAGGTTTAGACGTGCTACGGAAAGCGGGGAAAAAGGGAGGGGAAAAAAAGGTTAGATGAGAGTCAAAACCTAAAATCAAAATCAATCCGATTAAAGCTTAGAAAGATCGGAGGAGCCGATCGTGGTTTATACGCCGATCTCAGGAACGTCAGAACTAGGAGAAAACTAAACTTGGCTTGAAAAGTGAACGCAAGATTGCCTTGGAGTTAAAGTATTCGGTCGGCCGGACCTCAGCCGAAACTGGATCAAAACCTGAAAGTTTTGCCTCCCGAGGTTCTCGCCAAAGCCGGATCCGGGCCAAGAGACCGCGAGGAAACAAGCTCCCAAACACCGCAACGCGCTCCGACGACTCCTCTGAGGGAAGCGAAGAATCCGGAGCAGAGCGAGAGGAAGGAGGCGTTTCCTTCGGGCAAAAGGCTCTCGGTGTCCATCATCTCCCCAAACCCCGCCCTCCAAGCCAATAGCAGACTCGAGACGCTCCGATTGACGGGCCCGTGCGCGAATCCACCCTCCTCCTCCTCCTCCCACCCCCTCCCGCAGGGAATGTTTCTTTCCTAGCACGGGGTGGGGGTGGGGGGGTGGTTTAACCCAAGGAGTCCGGCCTCGGCGACAACTCGCAGCGCCTATCTTGACGCTGGACACCCCCCCTCCCCAAAATTGGAGTGTCCAACTGAGCATCCGAGCGTTCGCGTTTCCCTGTCCGGTGCTCTTCTCTCTCTCTCTCTCTCTCACTTCCACCCCCCCCTCCCCCGCCTCCACCAACCGGGCAAAGCGGGAGGCGGAGGGCGACGCTGCTGCGCGTGGAAGCGCGGCGGAGCAAAAAAAAAAAAAAAGTTTGCAGGAAGCAGCTTCCTTCGACTCGCAACTTCTGCCTTGACAGATCTCTGGAGAGGAGGAGGAGGCGGAGGAGCAGCAGCGCGCCCCGGGTTCCTGCGCGCGCGAGGGAAAGCTGCCCGGCGGCTCCTCGCGAAGGGAATCCCCGGTTTTTTTTTCCCAAGCCTGCGTGGTAAGAAGGATGCTGAGGGTTGGTTTTGGGGCGAGGGGAGGGCGGGGGTGGGCGTGCGGGAAGGGACCGTCCCTTTTGCGCTTTTCTCCCGGCCGCCCGGGAACAAACAGCCCCAAACACGCGCGGGTCGGCTCCTTCCCCACGCGCCTTGGACCCGAAATGGGTTGCGCGGACGTGTGGACAAAACGCCGAGGTCTCGTAGTTGAAAGCCTCTTGGCCGGCGGGGGAAGGAGAGGAGAGGCTCCCGCGGTGCCTTGCAAGGGCAGGGGAGTGGAAAAGGGAGGTTCGGGGCAGCGGGGCAGGGGTGCCTGTAGGTCTCCCTCCGGTGGGACGTCCCCGTCCCCCTCATGTGAGATTAAGGACGGGAGAAGCCGGATCTCTCAGCCCTTCCACCCCCGAAAGTTGCTTTGATCCGCAGGGACGGGGCGCTTCGGGAAGAAGCTGGAAGCCTCCCGTTCCCCCCCTCCCCCGCGGACGTTTGACAGCTTCCCCGGCGGCTAGGATCGCGTGTTGCGCCCTGCGCTTCTTTTTGGGATCGCTTTGCTGGGAATGCATGCAGGTTGTGGGGTTATTCAGTAAATCGTGGTTGAAATAAAAACCCCGCGCGACCTGCGACCTCGGCATGTGCTTTCGGGACAGCCTGCCTTGAACGGTGCCATCAGATCCTTTTCTGGGAGGATTCCTTCCCCCTCCCCCCAAACGATCTGACTTAATAATTCTGCCCATTAAGCTTTACTCCTAAAGTAGGATTGCAAGACTTTTGGAGCAGCGCTGGGGGAAAAAAACAGGTTGCAGTGCCAGGTGCAAGCTAGTTACCTCCGGGTTTAGTGCAGCCTAGCCATGTGCAGTTGCTCTGGAATCGAGGTGTTGCACAGTGCCCTGGTGAGCTGCAACTCCTATCTAAGAAGATAATGAATGTTATAATCCATTTACAGGGTTGCCAGATTTTAGGGGGAAACCTGATCTTAAAAATGAGCTAAGGGGTCCCTTATTTTGATTGCATGACACACATACACCCTTACAGATTTAGACAAGCTGCCGAAGCAATTACATTGTGTTAGCATGTTATTTACTATTACACAATTATTATGCCCTTGGCTATGATTATAGGCTTGATTTGAAAGCATCTGAACTATGTCACCCTTACTATGTTTAGATTTTGATAAATGCTCTTAAACTTCAGGGACTGACTTCTTACTTAACAGCAATTCTTCACTATTTTTAAACCGCGCAGCAAAATCTACAAAACGCTGCAATTTGGTTCATGGATTGTTAAATCATAATGGCTTTATGATCTATTCTAGTTTCATATTATGCTTCCTAAAAAATCCCAGGTTCTGTGTTCAGGAAGGTGCCTGGCTTTTCTGTGTCTCCCTGGGCAATTTTGGTTGTGTGGACCCAATAGAGTCAACTAGAAACTTGGGTCCACTTCTTTGGAAATATGTCAAAATAAACTTGATTGAATTTACTCCACATAAGCTAAAAGGGGGATGAACAATTAGATGCCCATTTTACAATTGCTAGGTGATATTACAAGGGAGCAGTTTATGGCATTATTGTAAGCCCATTTTTTTCAGGAAGGCATTATGTGTGGGATGCAAGTGTATAGAACAGTGCTGTGACATCACTCCGCCTGAGGTGGTGTGATAAATACTCCTCTAGAGACAATTACAAATACAATCAGCTAAATAGTCAAACATCCCACCAGTGTCATCCCAAGACAAAAGGGTTTGGATGACATTGGCTTTTGTGGTTTGGTGATTCAATGTAAGATGCTTTTTAGATAACAAAGCTTAATGACGATTTTAAGATTTATTCCTGCAGCCCTCTCTGTTGTTAATGCTCTGCTGTAGTTTTAAACAACGTTGCATGCTTTAGACAGGAATTTCTTCACAGGTAGTCCTCAATCTGTGACCACAATTGAGCCCAAAATTTCTGCTGCTAAGTGGGACTAGGTGAAATTTCCCCTATTTTACAATCTTTCTTGCCACAATTGCTAAGTGAATCACTGCAGTTGTTAACAAAGAATAACAGAGTTGGAAGGGACTTTGTAGGTCATCTAGTCCAACCCCCTGCTCAAGCAAGAGACCCTATACCATTTCTGACAGATTCTTGAAAGCTCCCAGTGATGAAACAGCCACAACTTCTGAAGGCAGGCTGTTTCCATTGGTTGATTGTTCTCACTGTCAGGACACTGTCAGTATCCCCTAGGACACTGCAACCAACATAAATATGTGCCAATTGCAAAGCCTCCGAATTTTGATTTTGTGACCACGGGGATGCTACAGTAGTGGTATGTGTTGAAACCTGGTCATAAGTCACATTTTTCATGGTCACTAAACAAATGGTTAAGAACTACCTGCATTCATTTAATTAGATAAATATCCTATCTTTCATTTAGGAGCTGAAGATGGCATCTAATGCTCACAGCAACACTGTGTGGTAGATTGGGCTGAAAGTTAGGGTTACAGTAGAATCTGGATGTGGCTGAGCAGGGCTAGCTGAGGGCTTCTGGGAGTTGAAGTCCACAAGTCTTAAAAGTTGCCAAGTTTGGAGACCCCTGCTTTAAACAGCCTCTCTTCCATTCAGAATATTCACAGTCACTAACTGGGGATTCCTACTTTAAGCAAGGCCAAAATGTGAATCCAGACCGTTTTTGTTTGTTTGCTTTTGCTAATCCTTATTAACTAAAACACCGCTTAAAGGGCTACGTGAATGCAGAGAAGGACATATTGGCATTGCATGTACCAACATCTGGGCTAGATTATATGGAGTAATTTTAGGATAGGAGATGTTAATACAATTGCTGGGGGGATAAAATTCTAGCAGGGCAAGCCTTTTTATCTTTTAACCATGAAGGCAGATTTTTATTCTCAGTGGATCAAAATGTATTTGCTCATCCATCATTAAGTAGAAGGTTTTCCCTTACTATTTACCATTAGCTGGTAGAGTCAAGGAAGGTAATGCTGCTTTAAAGAATGAGCAGCTGGAGCAGTATTGCTGGGCAGATGTTTCTAAAGGTTTGCTGAATTTTGTCTATGAAGGTTCTTGTGTCCACTTTTAGAATTGGCACTCCTTGATTCAGAAAGCAATAGCTGTTTTTTTCATATCAGTACTTTGCTTATGCATTTCAATTAGAATTGCTAACTTCCCCTCCTCACCCTGTCCAAAAAGCAGGGTGTTTGTGCAACAACTGTAGATATTTTGGAGAGAAAACTTCTTCCAGCCTCTGGAAATATGGTGATGGAAAAGCTTTACCCACAAAACAGCTGCTTGGCACACAGCTGTAAAAAGCTTGGGAGCCCTGCTGGGATAATAACTTATTAGCTTTTGAAGTATATTTTTAATTGCATTTATTTCTGAAACTACAATTCTTGTGGGAGGCAAGTCCGATTCATCTAAACAAGACTGGACTTTTATATAAAAATTCACAGGAACAATATATGAGATTTTGATTTGGGGACTGTGATGGGCTTTTGGTTTTTAATGTTGCTTAAAAGTCTGCGAGAGCCAGTTTGGTGCACAGAATATTGTTCCAGGCTAGAAGACAAGAGACTGTGAGTTCTAGTTCTATCTTAGACACGAAACCAGCTGGATGACCTTAAGTCAGTCACTTTCTCTCTGCCCTAGGAAACAGGCAATGGCAAATCACTTCTTAAAAATCTTGTCCAGAAAAATACAGGGACTCGTCCAGGCAGTCACTAGGAGTCAAGGATGTCTTGGAAGGCAGAAGTTGTATACGTACTTCGTATATATTCAGTAGCATACAAAATATATTCTTGTGCAGGTATCATAGTGAAGAAGCCATTCTAAAAATATAAAAATGTGCATGTTCACAGATAAAATACAAGATTTTGTTGATAATATCTCTTTTTTGTCTAAGAAGAACTAAGTAGTGAGAGGGCTGCAGTATAACTCACATGCTTTACGTTATAAAGACTTGCTATCAATCTAGTTTAGTCACTGACAAAGAATTGCAGTGGAAAGGTTGTGTGGATAGGAGCCGCCAATAAGTACAGACATGGTAGCTTATTCAGTAAACCTAGCTATAGTGTATTTGGTAAACCACATTTAAGCATTTTAAATCATATCTGGTAAACCACAATAACAAGAGTTGCTTCGTATGCTGTGCTGAAATCATGCAAACCAACTTATGGCTTGATGTGACATGAGAACCAGGCCAATACAAGGGTACATGGAAATCAGCCCTTACCTGTTATAAAGCAGTCTTCTGTATTTCCATGAATAACGTGGGCTGTTAAAAGCTGTCATAATTATGTTGGATATGATTGCCCAATTCATGTTGATAGTTACTAAATAATTATTTTAATGTATTAGGGCGATATTCCAAAGTTGCTGTTCTCAGTTGGCAGTCTTTAATTAGCCATAATTCTCTTAATAACACCGAACATTTATTTGCTATTATTCACAAGATTAAACAGTAAGCACATACATAGCACAAGGTGTTTAATATACTGTTTAAAGAAGATGCAATTCAAATACTGTACCTCATAGTATTTCAGTTATTTAAAAAGCCAAGACATTAGTAATGTCCTCTCATTTAAGATTTCTGTAATATCAGTGGTCGGATGGCAGATATTTGTAAATTAGCTAATTCCCTACTTCGTGTTTTGCAGCCACATGAATGGCTGAGAAATCAGAGCAAGACGTTTACTGGCTTATTGGAAGAGCTTTGCAATAAGGCTTTGAAGAAAATTGCAGCCAAGGATCTTTGAGTTTGGAATTTGTTTTCCCCCAATAGGTTTCTTGAGCAGAAAGATATTGACCCTGAGGGCATGTTACAAAGTTTATCTCTTTTCCCAGGCTTCCTCTGAGGAAAAAAAAGGCTTTCTTTGATTGGGGAGAATCTTTGGGTCAAACAGGACACAACAATAGCAGATCTGTGTGCTTTAATCCTTAAAGCTTTGTTGCACTCACAGATCAACTGTAGGGTGGAGGGACTATGTTAACACCTATAGGAGAATGAACTCTTCTCAGTT